TGATTGTGGCAACGTGATCGTCCACATCCTTCGATGACATGTTTCTTTTGGGATTTGTGATACACTGATCTTGGAATATTTGTATTTGGTACTTGGCTTGGATATGACTTTTGTTTGAAAATAATGATTTCTATTAAATTTAAGAATGAAAATCTTTATCGTGATTTTGGAATGTTACAATTTGGGAATTATTGAGTTCAAAACTGTCTCAATAATATAGGTTGTAGCAGTTCGAAATAGTCTCCGAAACGTAGGTTCGAGCAGTGATTTCGAAATAAACTCTGAAACGATATTTAATTTTTTTTTGGGGGGGGGGGGGGGGGGCAGGGAACAAAACCGGATTGGATCCTATAATGGTTACTATTTCCTAAAAATGGATCCTGAATCACTTGTTCCGAACCTTATGGTCATTTTTCAAGGAAAAAACACAGTTATTGTTAAAACCATTGATAAGTACTTAGATCAATTTACCTTCAAATTTTCATATTCTCAACTTTAATAAAATTTTCATTTTGAATCGACTTTAAATTGAAATGTTACATTATTGGTCCCTACTTTTCCTTCTGTATTTTCATATTCTACCCTAAGATCTATTTTTTTATTCATCGTTTGGATATCCATATTACCTTATTGTAAATCACAAATATTTTTCGTACAACTTGGTGTTTATAACGATTACAAATAGTATAAATAGTTCCAAAATCTGTGATTTGGATGTCCATAAAATCTAATATATCTTTCAGCAACATAGAGTAAGTAAACCTTTTTTTTTATTTTTTTTTTATTTTTTTTTTATTTTAACCCAACTTGAGTTTTTTAACAAATCTAAATTTTCTTATAATTTTTACCCAGATCATAATTCTTTTTACGAATTTGTCCAAATATTTTTCAATTTTTTAACTTTGTTTTTAAGAACTTAGTTTTTTTTTTTTTGAATTACTTTATTTTCAATTTTTTTACATCTTATTTTACAACTTAGTATTTTACGAATTCATTTCTATAAAATTATTTATTTAATATATTTGTATGTATGCATGTTCTTGATCGTTTTTACACAAAAAAAAAAAAAACAAAACAAAACAATTGTTTTCTCAGAGCTTGATATCCATTTTTGTTAGTTGTGTTTATCAAACTAACCCATAGTTTACGCCCGGACATACGGACCTGCAAACCTAGCTAATTACATTTTTTTTAAAACATTGATATTATTAGTTTCTTTATTATCGTTAAAATTTTATCTAAATCTTTTAGAATTTACTAATTAGATTTTTTTTTTCCTTTTTGTGGTAGCAGTTTTACAGGTCATAATAAAACTTCAGTAATTAAATCTAATGAGTAATAATAGATTTGTATTGAAAATTATAAAACAAGAATAAAAAAAGAGCAAAGTAAACTTTAGGGTTGAATATTGGGAACGGTTCACTCAAAACTTTTTGCTGGAGGGTCTCCACCTCTTCCGGCCACTGGCTCTAGACCAATCTGTCTTTTCAGCAGCTTTCCTAAACCTAATATTAGAGAGAGAAGGGAAACGGATGGAGCCATGAACAATTGAATCCCATGAAATCAGTTCAAACTTTATAACACCTGTTTTCATGGCGGTCTCAACTTCCGGGTGGAAATCTGACGGCAAGAGATGAAAACCTAATTTTCATCGTTCAGATCGAAGTTTTGCCGATGGATGATGAGAAGTAGGTGTTGTATTACATGTCGGATCTGCAAACTACATAATCAAAAAAGATGGAATGCATAATCAGCGGTGGCAGCGATGGATTCATATATAGGTGGTGGTAACAAAAATTCAATGGAAGATGGGTGGCCAGAATAAGGCGAATGTGGGTTGTGATCCGAAACTCGGGACGGATCTCTACTCCATCAAGAGATTGCCGACGATCTGCCTTAGGGTTCACATACACGAATTGAACTCCCAAAAAGGTTACTATTTACAATTCTTTTTAGTATAGTCATTAATTTGTATGACTTATAATCGTTTTATATAATTGTGTGGTTTAATTCATCTAAATTTATATTTCTAATTATTTCATTCTTTTAAATGGTTTTGAAAAAGATTTATGCATGGATTTTTAAGCTATGATAATTAATATCTTAAACTTAATTATCGGTGTATAACCGTAAATTAAATCACTTTTATTGTAGTTTCATTTATATATTTAACTTTTGAATCACAATATTGGCAGAGAAATGCATATCGAAGTTCTTTTTTTTTTTTTTGGAAATGGCAAACGAATAAAGAGGAAGCCTACTCGATATATCTCAGCGAGCACAGAGGGTTCGAAGCTCTTTTACAGAACAAACTCAGCCCCTATAAGGAATTCCAAAGAAAATTCTTCAGATATATGTCACCACAAGAGGTAGTTTAAAGGATTCGAACTCTCAACCTCACGCCCCACGTGTGTATAAAACCTAATGCATCAACCCAGCTAAGCTAGATATGACTTGCGAAGTTTTTATTTTTAGAGAGTTGTGTACATATATAAATTTGTTTAAGGAGGGAGGAAAATAAATTTTATTAATTATGAAAAATTTATGTTCATACAAGCTAGATGGCAATATGTTTTGGGAGTTGAGAAACCAATAAATATGTTTGTATCATGTAGCATGATGTACGATAAATCTATTTATGTCAAAAAAAAAAGGTATAAGTTTAATATTTCAAACCTACAAAACCCATGGTTTCTTAAAAGCTAGGAAATGATATACAGTATATACAGAAGTACAGCTTTCTTTCTTCATATCTTTATTGCGGTCATACGTACATACTTATTAAACAACACATAAGACTTATTATACAGTAATATAAATATTTTATATTACAAAAGAGAAAACAAATATATATAACCATTTTTCACCTCTGCCTAATAACACAATCGTGTATACTGCCACTAAGGTCACAATGTCATCGTTAATGGGGGAGTTGTAGGAGGAGATGAGTGCATGAGGGCAGCCACATCGGCAAATCGATGGTGGTGAACTGATGATGATGGATAAAGAAGAATTACAGAAGGGTTTTATTAAATTAATTAATCAGCCATGACGTGACGTACATATATAAGGTAATCAAACATTTATTTTGATGCTAATATTTTAAAAATAGTATTATCTTTTGATTTTTATATCATTATGTTTTTATGAGAACCTAACAATTGTTGACCAAATAATATGCTTTGACCAACATGTTTTTTTTGGTATTAATTTTTTCTTCAATTGTCTAAAAAAGGTTTTTCCAAATTTTTGAAAGACATATTTTCAAAACAAAATATACATAAATAGTTTTTCCAATTTCTTCAAACGTATTAATGATTAATAATCATAATTATTAGTTCAAAACGACAACAAGACACAGTAATTATCATTTATACAGAAACATCTTCCTATATATATGTGACACACATACACACACGTCTTCACAATTTTTCCTACAAAGTGTTTTATAAAATCTATGCAAACTTTTAACTTAAAGCCGTTTATGTAATATTTTATCTATAAATTATTACCGGATGGAAAATCAGTTATCAGCTCCATAAAAATTGTTATATGAATATACGAAGAGTGAAATATTATTATACAAATAAATATTTAACCATTGTGACGACATGAGCTATAAGAAGTTCCTAAGTTCCATGTAAAATTATTTTGTACACTAATAAATTATTACTTTTTTTTTCTGTATTTTTATATGGTCATTTTCATTTTTTTCTACTATCATCAATTTTACAATCATTTCTCCTGCCAACATAATTCTAAACAAAAAAGAAAAGCACAATTTTTGCTTGCTCATTTTTTAAAACAATGCAAACGTACAATCATCCGTGCTTTTCTCCGGTGAAAACGCACCCGTACTGTTTATTATCGGCAACATCGCCCCTGTTGCCGCATATACCTTTCCTTGTTTTTCTACCTCTCCGGTTACTTTACAAAACCACCCTACCCCACACCCCTCTCCCGCGTATTTCTTCTTGAATCGTACGCCATCATTAACAACATCCATTTAAGGTTGAAATTTTATCGTTGAAATCTAAGTTTGAATTATTGGAGGTTTGAATTGATTTTTTAGGTTTGAATGACTATGAATCGATCAGAGCTTTGATTCGATTTTAATGCAAGTCGAAACTGATTTTATATTGTTTACTTGGTCGTGGTGGTAGCGAACACGGGAGATGGTGGTTGTGATAGTAAGAGGCGGATGATGATGGTGGGAGAAAATGATCAATATATTATTTAATTTTAAATCGTATATAAAAAATATTAATGGTAAATCGTGATTAAAATGATAAAGTTTCAACAACTCGATAAGTTTAATGGTAACAATTTACAAAATAAAGTGACTAAGTATGTATACAAATGATAATTCATTACGTTATAAAGGTATTTACTATTTGGTAATTATCAAACTTTGATGTATAACATGATCAAAATGTATACAATCGTTTATATAAAAAAACATTTTGCTCAAATATATCTAGATTCTATTTTGTGATATATAGGAATATGTAGGAAGAAAACAAAAGCATATAATACTATAAAAATAATATTTTGAAATAAAGATAATATTAATAAAACAAATTTGACTCCATCTTATAAAAGATATATACAAAAATCGATTAAAAGGAACAGTCGTTTAACACAAATAAAATAATAATATTTATTATAATAATAATAATAATAGTTTATTGTTTGTTAGAAATAAAATAATGAAATAAAGGCTCCAGCTATTATACTGCTAAACTATGATATATCCCAATCAATAGCCCCTTTAACCTTCAGACACAAAAAACCCTAGACACGTTTCTCATTAGACACCTCGGTGCCCACGAATTCCCCACGGTTTTTGTTCATCAATTCACACACACAAACACTCATATAAATCTTTACCACCAACACACTTAGATCAAACACAAAGAAATCTCGTCAATTCGCGACACTTTCTTCGTTGTCACCAGTATTCTGTACTTATACATATAGCCCTGTGTATGTACATATCGATGGCTGACCCTCCCCTACCCCCTCCACCTTCTCCGCCCCCTTTCAACGCGTGTCAAGAAGGTCAACCAAAAAACCCTCTTCCTCTTCAGTTACCTACCAAACCCACTGTAATGACCGCTACTTCTTCTTCTGCTGGCTCTCCAAGCCTCCCTAGTCCGGCGGCAACCGGGAAACATCCAATTTATCGTGGGATACGGACTCGTAGTGGGAAGTGGGTGTCGGAGATACGAGAGCCCCGAAAAGCCAAACGTATTTGGCTTGGAACATACTCAACGCCGGAGATGGCTGCTGCTGCGTATGATGTGGCTGCTTTATCACTTAAAGGCAGTGATGCGGTGTTGAATTTCCCCGATTTTGTTGGGAAATACCCAGTTCCAGGTTTGCCGGAGCCTGCCTTGATAAGGAGTGCGGCAGCGGCTGCAGCAGAGATGATGAAGCCTTCTGCGGATCAGAGTGTTGTGTTGGTATCACCTGGTGGCGGAGATACCGAGCTGCCGGCCGGGAATGACTTTATGGATGAAGAAGCCCTTTTTGGTATGCCGAATTTGTTGGCGGATATGGCTGAAGGAATGCTGATGAGTCCGCCACGGCAGCACAGTACTGATGATTTGTCTCCGGGGGATTCATCTGATTGTGATAATTTATGGAGCTACTAGGCTTCTTTCAGTGTGTTCTACAAACATAATAAAAATTGAAGAATGAAGCAGAAAGATGGAATTTAAATGATTATGGGGGAAAAAAATCGAAATGAAGAGGGATGCAAGATCAAGAAAGAAGACGTGCGAACAAGTAGTATGCAACTATGCATGCATGATTGATCATAAAGCATGAGAATTTTATTTTTATTGGAATTTTTCATGATTGAAATCAAAGATGTTATATATATGGTGTTTCCGGAGTTCTTATTTTCAATACAATGCCGATCTCTTGTTAAACAATTTACCCAGTTCCTACTCTAATTAAGCCGAAAGGAGAGAAGAATGAGCGCTCCCCCGGGCTTTAATTAATTGACGATCACCAGATAGAAAGAAAATTCAGAGCTCTAAACAACATGCTGAAAGTTTTTGGTTTCTGAATAGAGGGTTGTAGACTTGTAGGCAATCAGTTGATCAAAGTACCTATATTTCTTGTGATCATTTAATTAAGGAGACAATGATTGAAGACGATCAAATTACTCCGGTGAATTTCGTTATTTGTTGAAAAATACCAAAAGGTTTCTAATCATGGGTATCATGTACATGTTGTCTTCACTCAAAATCTTTGAGTAGTTTACGAGTTGGAGTTGTTTACCGGGATGTTAGATTTGCCATTTTAAATTAATAAACAATAAAAACACCCAAAAATGATATAGTTGGGTAATTAGTTATTAGTATTGTATATATTTAGTCATATTTTATATACAATTTACTTTTAAACTTATAGTTCTAAAATTATCATTTTGAACAATTGTTACAAGTCTAGCCGTCGGTTTAATTACATGTTAAAAAAACAACATTAAACTTATATTTGTTGGTCAAAAAATACTATTAAACTTACATTTGTAAACACGATTTACCATTAAATTAATTTTTGTCCACATTTGATCATTTTTTTTCGACCACCATTAATATTCCAGTTATTTTCCTTTTTGATACCGTTCATACGTTTCCCTACTCTTCTCTATCTCCTGCTACTTTGCAAAAATCACCCTACCATGACATCGCTTTATCACCCCTTTCTTCTTGAATCGTGTGCCACCAATAATCACATCCGTTCAAGGTTGAAGTTGATTTTAGGTTTTAATGTGGGTTTGAATTGATCGGAGGTTTAAATCGATTTTGCTATAAGTTAAAGCTGATTTTAAATTAGTTACATTGTGATTGTTGTGCCAAATGGTGGAAATGGAAGGTTGTGGTGACAGAATAATGGTGATGGAAGGCGGTTTTGTTGCTAGATGGTAGATGGTTGTGGTGGAGGCGGGAGTGAATGGTGATGGCCACAGAAGATGACCGTGACATAGTTTAATGATAAATCGTAAACAAAAGAATTATTGGTATTGTGTATATAAAAAAAAGACATTAACATGCAATACCTTGTTAAAATGGAAGGTTTTAAATAGATAGATGATTTTAATAGTCAAAGGTCTAAAGAAAATAACCAAAATATATAAACTATTAAATGATAATTCGTTATCCTTCAAAGTCAATACTTCTTGATAGAACAATATGAATAATTTGTTGGAATTTGAAAGAAAAAAAATTGAACGATATATGATGTGGTATGGCGGTCACAAAACATGAATTATGTTATTAAAAGTTAAATGTCAAATTTTGTTTTCGTGATAGATTATGGGATCAATTGTAATCATCTTATATGCCTCGGTTTGTTCCTTTTTACTCTTTTACTTACCCACTATGGACCAACCAAGAAAAAAGGTCGTATTGCTTCCCATTTAATTTATACCTTTTAGTCCAAAAAGAAAACTGTCAAAATAAAATTTATATTTAAGGAAATTCTTTTTTAGTTTATTTTGTGTCATTTTTTGTATTCACCATTACAGAAGAATATTAACAACAAAATAATATATATATATATATATATATATATATATATATATATATATATATATATATATATAAAGGACAACCCTAATTACTAATTAAGAATTCTTCAAAAAACTAAAATAACTTTATTTCACTTTAGCAAAACAATGAGTACACTTTTTATGGGTCAATTATAGTGTCAAAGTCTCTTTAACCAATTTAAAATTAAGTTAATAACTTTACTAGGATAAACAAATGTTTTTCAAACACATAATTGGTCATTATATACCGTACGTTCTTGACCTTTTATTTGTTTAAAACACACAAACAAATATTGAACCTATAAAAACTCTACAAGGGGATAGTTGACTTCTGAAGGAAAGTGTTGACTTTGTTAAAATCAACATGTTTCGACGGCGTTATTAACATTATTAGACGGGTGAGAGCGGACAGCAGGACTTCCCGTTAATACAACGTGGCACTCAAAAAACGCTGGTATAACGCGAGCAACAGGACTTCCCGTTAGTGTGGTAACGACTTTATTTGGATCCAGATTCTCAAACGGTAATAAATTAAAAAAAAAAAAAATCAACTTTAACTCTAATTTTTACACTTGTATATACACATCTAACTTTATTTTTTACCTAAAATCCAAATTATTTCTCTCATCTTATTTTAAATCATCAAACAATTTCTCATTCCATCACTATGGATCAAATCCCCAACACTCATCCTCCAAACACAAATACATATCCGCCTCTCGGTTTTGCACAATGCGTTGTATGCGATCATACTCAACACTCAAGGCAACTTTTTCAATCCCACCTCACCCCCACCACAATTCCCTACAACCCTACCATAAAACCCTTTTAACACATTCGCTACAATGCAACAAAATACCACATAACCACCACCCACGCAAGAAATGGTACCCGAGACGCATGCGCGGGGGGGGGGGGGGGTGGTGCCGGAAAAAAAAAATGGCCAACAAAGGGAGAGCAAGAAGGAAAGGCAAAACAGTCGCGGTGGAGCAATCGGAAAACGAACATCCAACATGGTGGACTGCAGAAGAAGAATACACATTGGCGGGTGTCATGGTGCGGGACATCAAAAAATCCAACTCAAGGAAACGAGGAGGATATGCCACACAGACGGGCGGAGGTGTTCCGAAAAATGAAGGCGAAGATCGAGCGGAAATATTTAGGCGAAGAATAATGTATCGGTTTTATGTTTTCAAATTATTAGGACTATCGTATGTTTTCGGTCAATGTTTTTTTTGTTTTGTTTTTTTTTTTTTTTTTTTTTTTTTGTTTTAAAATGGTATGTTTAATTTAGTAGTTAATTGAATTATGTTTTATTAATTTATATGTTTTTTAAAAATATTATGACATAAATTAAAAAAATAAAACAAATTAGAAAAATAGAAATTAAAAACATAAAAAAAATGAAATGTGTTATCACATGTTATTTGGTGTTGCACATTTCCATACTGGGTATTATAACACCAAAAGTATGACTAGGATGATGATGTGGACATTTTTGGGTATGATAACATGTAATAACATGTTGCCCACACCCAATAGTTTTAAAGTTGTGTACTTTAGTTGATCGTTGCAATTACTAGCGATAAGAATATTAATGAAATAATGGAAGTGGTGAATTTTTCTTGATTATTGACTGACATTGTAATCATGGTTGTGTGAAACACGACCAACGATAACACACATGAGTGGGAGCCACGCATATGAATCAGAAAACATGCGACATAGGAAAACATGAGAAAGACCTGGGACATATGGAAACATAAGAAAGACCAATGGAGTTAGAACTCAGAATACCAAAAAAGTAGAAAGGGTTTCATGTACCATATTTGTTACAAATTTCTCATCAAAACTTGATGTTGAGTATTGTGGAAACCCTCTTGAATACGGTAGCATGTGCATTGACAAAATATATATAGGTACAAGTTACAGAACACCCCCTACACTATACATCACGAGATATAACAACCTAACAAGTATATAATTTAACACACACCAGTAGTTTGAGCAGGAGGTTGCCGAATGTTTAAACTATGTTTGAAATCAAGGAACAATTGTGTAGGTAGACCCTTTGTAAATATATCTGCATACTGATAAATGGATGGAACATGAAGAACACACACATGTCCAATCACAACATGGTCCTTAACAAAATGTAAATCAATTTCCACGTGCTTGGTTCTTTGGTTCTGAACATGGTTATATGAAAGATACATGTCTCTAACATTGTCACAAAAGACGAAGTGACACGAGATAACGGATATAATAACTCAAGGAGAAGATTCTGAAACCATGCAGTTTCAGCAACCACATTAGCCACCCCCCGGTACTCGGCTTCGACACTGGAATGAGAGACAACATGATGTCGTTTAGAAGACCAGGAGACAAGTTTATCACCGAGATAAACGCAAAACCCAGACATGGACCGGTGTGTAGTAGGATAGTTGGCCCAATCAGCATCAGAGTAAGAAACCAGACGGTCGACAGAGCACGGTCGAATGGAGAGATCGCGTATTAGCGTTCCTTTAAGGTAGCGAATAATGCACTTAAGGGCAATGAAGTGAAGAGCATGAGGATCATGCATAAAAAGATAGATATGCTAAACAACATAGGCAATATCAAGATGAGTGAAAGTTAGATATTGGAGGGCACCAGCAAGACTTCGATATAAGGTGGGATCAGAAAAGAGCTCACCATCAGAAGTTAGCTTGGAGTTAGTGTCTGCCAACGTGCTATAGGGATTACAAGTAACCATGTCAGCACGGGAAAGAGTTTGTTGAGAGAAAGCAGACTGAGAGAGAAAGAGACCAGAAACATCACGAAAAGCAGCAATACCAAGAAAAAAGGATAAGGATCAAATGTCAGAAATGGGAAAATCATAAGAGACGAAAGAAGAACTTGGAAATGACAACAACAGTAGAAGAAGCAGTATGAATAATATCATCCACCTAGAGGAGAAGGTGGATGTTGTCAGATTCGCGATGGAATGTAAAGAGAGAATTGTCTGATTTACTACTGCGAAAGCCAAAGGTAGAAAGATATACAACAAATCGTTGGTACCAGGCTCTAGGGGCTTGCTTAAGACCATATAAT